CATAGTGGCTGCAACAATGGGCTCAAGCATAGCAATAATTGTGAGGAGAGCGCAGGACCCAGCAGTGTTTCGTTCTGTTGTACATAGGGTTGCTACGAGTGGGAACCAACTCAACTGCACCTAATGCAACAACATACAGCCACAGTAGTCAAAACAGCCTGATACTGGTATAATAATAAACACACAGACCAGTGGAATAGAATTGAGAGTCCAGAAATAAACCAACACATCTATGGTCAACTGATTTTTGACAAGGGTGCTAAGTGCCTTCAGTGGTGAAAGAAAAGTCTTCTCAATAAACGGTGCTGGGATAATTGGATTTCCACGTGCCTCACACCATACGCAAAAACAAATTCGAAATGGATTAAGGACCTAACATGCAAAATAAAACCATAAAATTCTTAGAAGAAAAAGCAGTGGCAATGCTGTCAGGCCTAGCTTTCAACAATGGATTGTCTAATATAATAACAAAAATGCAAACAACAAAAGACAAAATAAATAAATGGACCCTCATAAAAATTAAAAACTTCTGTTCATCAAAAGATTTTACCAAAAAAAGTGAAAAGACAAGCTATTGACTGGGAGAGTATCTTTGGAAAACATATATCCAAAAAGAATCTAATAACCAAAATATATATGAAACTTCAGCAACTTAACAACAAAAAGACAAATAACCCAATCATAAAATTGGCAAAGGACTTGAATAGACACTTCACCAAAGAGAATATTCAAATGGCCACCAAACATATGAAAAGATGCTCAGCATCATTAGCCATCAGAGAGATGCAAATCAAAACCACAGTGAGATACCTTTGTACTCCCACTAGGTTGGCTAAGATTAAAAAAAAAAAAAAAAAACCCAGAAAATATCAAACGTTGGTAAGGATGTGGGGAAATTGGAACCCTTATCCATTGCAGTTCTGCAAAAAAACTAAAAACAGAACTACCGTATTACCCAGCAATACCACTCGTAAGTATATACCCAAAAGACTTGAAAGCAGAGACTCAAAAAGAGACTTTTACAGTGATGTTCATTGCAGCACTATTGACAATAGCCAAAAGGTGGAAACAACTTAAATGTCCATCAACAGAAGAATCGATAAACAAAATGTGGTACATACATGCACTCAGCCAGTAGGAGAAATGAAGTCTTGATGCATGCTACAGTATGGATGGAGCTTGAAGACATTATGCTGAGTGAAATAAGCCATTCACAAAAGGACAAATACTGTATGACCTTACTTATATTAAAAGACAAAAAAAAGGCAAATGTAAAAAAAAGAAAAACCTACGGAGCACAATTCTACTCTGACATACATGCAGTCACCACGATTCAAAGTCAACTCGATGGCAACTAGTTTCTGTTGTCCTCAGAGTACCTCCTCCCCCCACCTCAGAAGTGACCAGTCGGGAGCCTCCCTCCATCAGCTAAAGTCCCGCAGACATCTGTCCCAAGTTTTCTGTTTTCCCTGCATCAGTCAATGGCCTCTCAATCTCTGGGTTCTATCTTCTTTTGCCTTTGCAAGAACCCTAGTCCTACATTCATCTCCTCTCTCCTCGTCAACAATTCCTTTCTATTAATGCATTATTTCCATCAGCATACAACCATGTACTTACATCTCCTACTAAAAAACTTCCCTTGACCCCCACCCTCTTCCAGTGACTCCTCCATTTCCCTGCTCCCTTTAATACCAAATTGTCTGAAAAGAGTCGTCTACACTTTCTAATTCAACTTACTGACCTCCTCATCAACACTTTCTTTCTGCTATTGAATCATTTCATCGTCCAGCTTTTGTGTGTTTGGTAGAAGGTCAGCAAAATCGAGGGAAACCCTTGATAAGATGGATTGACACAATAGCTGCAACAACGGGTACAAACATCAAAGATCATAAAGATGGCTAGGACCAGTCAATGTTTCGTTCTGTTATACATAGTCACCAGAGTCAGATCTGACTTGATGACAACTGACAACAACAACATTAGACCATTCCATTAGCATCCAACCTTTCATTCTTCAAACTATGCCAGTCTGAATCATTGGTCAAGGTGACCAATAACTTCAGCGTTGCTAATTCAGTGTTTCTTCTCTGTTCCGTTCTTCCTGGACCTCTCAGCAGAATTCCATGTGGCTGGCCACTTCCTTCTCCCCAAAGCGCTCTTCCCTGTTGGTTTTTTGTGACTCATCTCCTGGCTTTCCCTTTGCTATTCTGGCTGCTCTTTCTCCATCCCCTTCACGTCTTTCGCTACCTGACCTCCGGGCCCCTGTGCTTCCATTTCTAGATGATCTCATCCAGGCTCATGACTTTAAATATCACTTATGTGCTGATGACTCTCAGATTTATCTCTCTGGCTCGACCTCTCCTCTGAGCTCCAGACACATAGATCTAACTTGATGTCTCCACTTAGATGTCTCAAGGAATCTCAAACCTAACATAGTCAGAAACAATTTCTCCATTCCGTAGCCACTCCCCCAACCTGTTTCCCATCTTAGTAAATGGTACCACTATCCACTCAGTTGCTTAAATAAAAAACTCTACGTACCTTTCTCATTTCTCTTATCCTTCCTGTTGCATCGACTTCAAAATATATCTAGACTCCATTCATCTCTTTCCATCTTCACTTTCAACTCTAGATTAAGCTGCCATAACCTTTCACTTCTAAGCTGAAATAGTCTCCTGCATGGTCTCTGTGTTCCCTTTCTGTGGACAGGGGCTGCTTCAGGGACGGGCAAGGGCTTCCCTGCAGTGCCAATAACACAGTCATTGCTAACTGGATTAATTGGGTTTCCAGAGGGAATGCCCAGGTTTGCCCTCCTTGCTGTTGCCCTTCCTCAGAAATAGCATTTCCATTCAGAAAGCCAAATCAAATGCCATTAACAAATTAATTCCAATTAGTTCCGCCTAAGCACTCAGGACTGAGGATGATCCTGGTCAGTCCTGGAGGGAGATGTTGTGGGCCTGGCTGCTAATAAAGTGGAGACCATATTGGAAGCTGAAGTGATTATGCCTGTCTCTGGCCCTGGAGGGAAGAGGAGTGAGATTAGATCACACTGGGATCTCCCGTGGGAATGAACTCACTTTCAAATGATGTTGTTGTTGTTGTGTGCCATCGAGTCGATTCCAACCCATAGCAACCCGATGTGACAGAGTAGAACTGCCCCATAGGGTTTCCTAGGCTGTAATCTTTACAGGAGCAAATCGCCAAGTCTTTTCTCCTAAGGAGCCCTGGTGGTGCAGTGGTTAAATTGATTGACTACTAACTGAAATGTCAGTGGTTCAAAATGACAGCAGTGGGCTTTTTTCACCCATGGAGCAGCTGGTGGGTTTGAACGGCTGACCTTTCGGTTAGCAGCTGAGCACTTAACCACTAGGCCACCAGGGCTCCTTTTTCAAACGAGTTACTAATTTCTCAACTTGGTTGTCAAGTCCATGGCAACAGGGTCAGTGTCACCTCCCCGTGGCCTGTGCCGCCTGCTACGAGAACTGAGCAGGTGCCCAAGAATTAAAGGTAAGAAGAATTAACTGACAACTGGGAAACAAATTTGGGGCCCAGTGCCTTCAGTAACACTTCATCCTTCTATTTAACAAGTATAATTGGGCCCCTACTGTGTTGGGTACAAAGACTCACATGTTAAACCAAACAAACAAGGTCGCTGTTCTCCTGGACCTTAGAGACAAGGGGAAGGCGACACACGGTAAACATTATTCAAATGAATGAAAATCAGACTTCAGAGAGTGAGAAATAAAACCAAGACAAGGACACAGGGCCCTGTGTGTGACAGTGTGTGGGTATGAGGGAGGGACGTTCAGGGGAGACCTGGGGTGTTGGTCCCTGAGCTAAGGTTGGATGATGCAAAGAGCCAGCCAGGTCTGGGGAGAGAACCTTCTAGGGAGAGGGACTAGAAAGGGCATATGACTGTTAGAGAGCCAGGCCCCACCCCCTTCTCATCCTCCCAGGACGTCCAGCACAAGCTCCTCTTGGTAGCCTCCCCACCCCCAAGCAGGGTGGTCGAATTCCTGCTGAGCTGGCAGCTTTGCCCAGAGTGTCCACCTGCCTGGGTGCTGTCCCTCCCGTCCACCCCTCTTACTTATGTCACAGGGCTTGCTCAACTCCCACCTCTTCCAACGAAGACTTTCAAAACCTTCCCAATTGCAGGGGCTCCTCCCCTCTCTGCAGTCCTGGATCACTTATTTGGCACCTGCTGTCTACATTGCCTTATGTGGGTAGACATCACACTACCAGGTGCTGAAATCTCCCCCAATGCCCTCTCTTCCCCGCTTGCTCAGGGGCAGATGCCTCATCCTCTGTCTCATACATCCGAGGCCTGGCCCAGGTCCTCACTGCTAGACTCTTGGAAAGTCTGAATGGACTGCCCAGCCTGATGGAAGCCAAGGGGCACATGGAGATTCACAGAAGCCTTGCTTCACCTCCTAGAAGAAGGCACTCTATCCAGTGTCTGGACCAGGGCTGGCTCTTGATTTGAAATGTAGCTTCAGAATATTACTAGCTTTCTTGCAGGAATGCCTGGAGACCTTCACAAGAGCAGCGGCCAGCCAGAGGGATACGGGTCCACTTAAAGATGAAAAAAATCCCAGGACCAAGAGATCACATGACAGAGATGGCCAACTACCCTCCAGAGGTGCTCTCCATCCTGGATCCCAGGTGACCAGGCCTCCAGAGTGAGCACCACCCCTGCCCTCCAGGAACCAGCAGGGCTTCACTGCAGCCCACCTTCCTCCAGCTCAAACAGCCCCCGCCCCACATCCCAGAACAGCTGCACACACAATTCCAGCTCTAGTTAGCCTTATCCAGAAAGCTAGGATATGCAGGAGGACACATGTGGGCACAAAGGATTTGACCCTCAGCGTAAAGGCCCCTGGGCTGACAGCAGGACTGGCCGTCTGTCCTGTGCTGCAGCCCACAGGGATGAGTCCATGGCCCCAGACCCTGGGGGATGAGGATGAGATGAGCATGGACAGGCGTCAGGCACTGCTGCTAACCTTTCATGAGGACCGTCCTGGCCTCGGCCCACTCGCTCCTCCCGTCTGACGTCAGCAGGCCGATCGGAGGCAAGCGCTCGTCCTCGTTGGAAGCCATTTTGACTATCTTTCTCAACTGAGTGAACAGATCCCCCTCACTGAGACGGCGGAAATTAATGACAACATCTAAGACAAAGAACTGTGGGGGAAACAGGTCAAACATGTCACTCGAGACTGCAGAGCGCCCCATCGGGACCCAAGTGCCAGCTTTTGCTGGGCCAGGGGATACTCAGACCCAGGTCTCCAAAGGATTTCATGTTCTAGGTGGTCACAATTTGAGGGCCAACCCCAAAGCAGTTGACTGTGCTGGACTCCAGGCTGGACCCCCACTCAAAGATTAAACTTCGCTAAAAGAAAGCTTGTTTTTGTAGTTCCTAGTTTATGTAAAACCACTGTGTTTGTGGGGATTTGAGCTCTCAGATACTACTGGAGGAGTGTAAATTGGTAAAAAGCCCTTTTGGAAGGCAGTGTCTATCAAAACTAAAAATGTGCCTGCCCTATGACTCAGCAATTGTACTGTAAAGACATACTTTAGTCTAAGGCTGAGAGACATGTCCACCTGTGTGCCCCAGAAGATACATAAAGGAATGTGCATATCACCCTTGTTTGCCACAGTGAAACAGTAGAAACTGCCTAAATGTTCTTCAGTTAGGGAATGGCTAAATAAAGTGTACTTGTCCAATGCATTTCTACCCAGCATTTAAAAGGAACGAACTCATTCTAGGTAGAGCCACAGGTTTAGCACAAACACACTGGTGAGTGAACAACAAAAGCAAGCCAATGAATAATATGCAGAGGAAGATTAAGAGTGAAAATCAACACACAAAACGCTCTATGCATCCTTGTGCACATGCATTTGTATACCTCCATGTGTTTTATGTGTAAACCTGTGGGGCCTCAGGCTGTAGCTTTGATGGAAAGGGTCTTATTCCTTGGCACAGGTGAGGATGCCCTTTTGACCCAGCTGAATGAGTTCTCTGCTCGGCCTGAGCCGTGCACCTGAGGCTGAGTCCAGAGCCCTCCTTGAGCACTTCCGGATGGGACAGAGGCTGCGGCAGGTGGTGGCTGGGAAGAGCTGGGTTGGACTTTTGAGAGGAAAGTCCTTGTTTCGTGGCCAGCCAGCCTGGGTGTGAGGTGGACTGGGAAGTCTCCGGTTGGCCTTCAGACCTGGAATGGGGCTGCAGCTGCCCTCACGTGGCAGACACTCACTGAGCTCCCAACTTTCTAAAAACATGAGATTAGCCTGAGAAGAAATCATTTCAGAACAATTACCAGGGGAGCCATTGGGTCGTAGGCATCAATTGTGGTTTTTAACAAAAACGAAACAAAACCAAGTGAATTCTACCTTTTTCCTGATGAAATACTTATGTGGAGTCTCGATATGTAGAATCTACCGTCTGGAGGGCAATGGGAAGGGGTCCGGAGCCCTCATGCTCAGCCTGTCCCCCAGCCCCACAGGGCCCTTGTTGGCTCCAGGAACCTAGTCTGAAAACCTCAGTTGCAGGGGACAGAGTTGGGCTTCAGGCACTGGACAGACCTATGAGTCCTGCCACCCTGGACAAGCCACCTAACCTCTCTGCATCTCATGTCCTCCTGCGGAAGCCTGCAGGATCACTGTGGGATCCCACGGGGTGAATGCACATAAGTGACGAGCCCACACCTGGCACATGGTTCATCCAGTTGGGCCGTCTGTAACTCTGTCTGTGTGTGGTCATGGAGGGTCATGGCTTGGGTGATGATCTGTGGGTGGAGGGGCCGTAGCCATGCTGGGCTCTCATTAAGGACCCTCAGCCCAGCACGGTCTTCTTCCAACCTGACCTGGCTCTTGGGGACTCAGATGTGAGTCCAGGGGAGCATCCTCTAACTCATGGTTCTCCTTGTTCTTGGAGTCAATCAGTGGAGAGCAATGGGGTGGACGAGGTCAGGAGACCCGAGTTCTGGGCCTCTCTGCCCCTGCTCACTCTGGGGTGAAGCCAGCAGAAAGGGATAAGCACTAGTGGCCACTCCTGGCCCCATGACCTTCCCTGACCCGAGGAGCCATGGTGGGAAGGGCTGCCTACCTGGTTTTGGCAGGCCACAATGATGTGCTCAGGCTCAGGCATGACGCTGCTCTTCTGGGCCACCAGCGTGTCCTGGGTGTGGCCAGGGAGCCGGTAGGAGGAGAAGAGCCCATAGTATTGCCTCATACAGAGGGGCTGCCCTGACAGCTGGCCCTTGGCACAGTCGGTGGGGAGGGAGTGGCTGGCAGGCAGATGGGTAAGAAAAGGCAGCCGTGAGAGGATGGAAGGGAGAGGGAATCAGAATCGGGTCTACTGTCACTAGATCAGGCAAAACAGGGCACAAAAACCATACTGGCATTACCATGGGAGTCGAAGAGATCAGCCCCCACTTTCTTACAGTAGAGGAGTGCCCCATTTCCATGGCCCATGGAGACTTCAGGATTTTCTCAAAGCTCCATCGGCCCACTCTCACCCTGTCTTATGCACTGTGTAGGCAGGCCTGCCATTTCGGCCCTCAGTGACTTTGCTTGCTGGGGCCAATTCTGGCTGGGCATGCCCTCGCCTCCACCCCTGCACTTAGTTAACCTGTTTAGAAAACTCCTTCTTCCTCAAAAGGCTACTCTTTCATCACCTCTTCTAGAAGCCTCCTCTGAGTTCAAGGCAGAAAGTTTGCTTTCCTCTGTGATCTCCGTATATCTGGTGTCCACCCATCTTTCCTTCTTTTCCCCCTCCCTCCCTTCCTTCCTTTTCTTCAGTCCTTTTTTCCATTTGTTTTCCTTCCTTCCTTCCTTCTTTCCTTCCACCCATCCATCCATCCATCCTTCCGTCCATCTGTCCGTCCGTCCGTCCATCCATCCACCCTTTCAGCCAACAAGTATTTATTGAGCACCGTCTCTGTGCCAGACACCATTCTGGGATCTGAGGATATAGCAACAAACAAGACAGATGAGTTTCCTGCTGTAATGGGGCGCAGGTTCTAGGATGTATAGACAAAGAGTAGACAACAAATAGCCAACCAGTGAGCAAGAGACTGTCCAGTAGTGACAGAGAGTGATGAGGTAAGTGACTGGAGGGGCAGGAGGCGGTGCCAGGGCTGATCTCACTGAAGACTGGATGTTTGAGCTGCACTCTTAGGGTAGGTGGCAGCCCTGAGAAGAGCCAGGGGAAGTGGGGTGCCCCACGGCCCTGCTACTCAAACCACTGGTGTTGGACCCAACTGTTCGTAACAAACCCATAAGAGGATGAGGGCTAAAATTGAGAGGAAGCACTCAGAAACTTTTGTGGCAGTTTGATAGAGGAATTTCCTGTCTGTTGAATCTAAGAATAAAATATTTGGGCTCGTGTTTTGTTTGTACCATTTTTTAAGTTACTAGTTATGTAAAAAGTTTACAAAATTAAAAACACAGCAAACAGGTCCTTCAGTGCAGACAGTTTAAGAAGCACTAACGGAAGGCAGAAAGGAAGCCAGTGGGTTGAAGCAGCCTGAGGAGGAGGCCAGAGAGGTAGGAAAGGGCCAGCTCCTACAGGACCTCATCAGTAGAGGTAAGGAGTTTGTATCTTATTCTCCATGCAATGAAGGCCGCTGGAAAGCTTTAGTGTTTCATGGCATGATTTCACTTATATTTTGCTTTTTTAATGACCCTGGTTATATGTGTAGAATGGACCGAAGGGAGTCACAGGAAGAAGAAGGGAGGAGGCTGCAGCCGAGATGGGAAGGTGATGTGGGCTGTGGGGAGGAGGGCTGGCTGACAGCAGCTGAGACGAGGGGAGCCTGGAGGAAGAGGAACCATGGTGAGTCTAGGGTTCTGGATTTACCAACTGGGTGTGTGGGCACATTTACTGAACTGACAAGGCAGGGTGAGGGTAATCTGGGCACTTGGGAGGACATCCAAAGATCCAATGGAGACAAGCTCAGTTCGCAGTGACTGGGATGTCCCGGAGAGCTGACAGGAGCTTGATGGAGGGGATGGAGCTATATTTTATGTCTGTCTTGCCCAGTAGTTGAGAACCTTCTGAGGGCATGGATGGAGGCTTATTTCGCTTCATCTTTCCAGTGTCAATGCATTGCAAAGTGAAAGAATGAATGAGCGAGTGAATCAAGAGGCCCAAAACAGTTACTCAGGCAAATGGGGTATGTGTGGATGTGTATAGTGGTATGAGTGTGAGTGCACACACATACATGCACACACACACACTGGCACACACACACACACTGGTACACACACATGTACACACACACTCACACATACTCGTACATGCACACACACACATGCATGCACGTGTGAGTCTGGGGTTTAAACTGTCAGTGATGGATGGAACAAAAGGCCCCAGTCCCAGTGGCAGGGCCCAGGCCCTCCTTCCTGCACTGCCCAGCTGTGACATTGTGAGGGTTGAGGCTCTTTGAAATCAGAGACTGGGAATCAGAGGAAAGCAGACACACGGTGTCCTGAGCTGGAGGAGAGAGTCCTCCTCGAGGCAGCTGCTCTTACTATTCCCACTGGAAAGACGAGGGACTCTAGTTGGGACTGATTAGACCCATCCAAGGTTAACACACCCAGTGTTGTGGGCATCGGAATTCAAACTCAGGTCTGCCCACTCCAGGGCCCGAGCCCTGAGCTGCTCTGCCCTTGGGTCTTGGGGCCCTATCCTTCCGTGGAGCAGCTGTGAGTCTGAGCATCTGCCCCAAGGCTGGGCAGAGACTTAGTTGGACCCAAGCTGAAAAGAGAGTGAAGTTAGCCTCTTCTGCCCTCCTGGTTCTGCCGTCTCCTGGCTGTGTGACCATGGGAAAGCCGCTTAACCTTTCTGAGCCTTGGCTGCCTCATCTGTGAAGTGGATCCTGCTTTGGGGCTCTCTCACATCCGAGCATCTGATGCCCTTACATTCTCTGCCTCCAGGGACCCTGGCTTCTCCAGGCACTCTCCCTCTTGCTGCTGCCCCCAGGCCCCTTGGCCAGGAGAGGGGCTTTCCTTAAATCTGTAATACTGCACTGAGTTTATGCAGCTCTCTGCACCTGTGAGAACACCCTCGTGTCCACTGAGTCGTCTCTGCCGTCCCTCGAGCTCTGTGGGGCCGAGGAGACAGAGGCTCAGGGCAGGGAAACCATACTTGCCCAAGTAGGAACGCTCAACTCCCATCTCCTCACTCCAACAACTTTTCCTTCTCTCCCTTCTGATGCGTTCTCTGGTTCCTGACAAACTAATTCAGGCCAAGTGTGAACCTAGGAGGCATGGAGGGAGGCGGGCATTTTACAGAAATGAAGTAAGGAGATGCTACCCCAGGGAAAGGGGATGTTCCTGGTGGGCCAGCTGGGGTAAAGCTCATCAAGACACTGGGGGATCCAGAAGGCAGGGTGCTCCCTGTCCAGTGCAGCCGGGAGGCAGCGGCAGGAACAGCCTGTGTGAAGCAGGGCACTACCCTTCCCAGGCTGGTCCCAGTCCTACCTGTCCAGCAGAGCCTTGTAGCTGAGCACACCAGAGATGAGGCTGGCTGCAAACCTGCAGAGAGAGATGAGGCCTCAGCCCGCCCTCTCAGGGGCCCGGCTTCCCTGCCTCCCTCCCTCTCTTCCTTCTTCCTCTCCCTCCTGTCCGCCTTCTCTCCTTCTCCTTTTTCCCTTCCTTCCTTCCTTCCTTCCTTCCTTCCTTCCTTCCTTCCTTCCTTCCTTCCTTCCTTCCTCCCTCCGCTTTAAATGCAATGATCCCCCAACTTAGGCCAGGCCTGGGTGGGGCACTATTCAGATATGGTTCCTGCCCCCCAAGATGCTGTCAGCCCTTCACAAGCCTTGGATTAAAAATGGTCCCGTGGAGACAGCTGGGGGTGGTGCAGTTCTGGGAGAGAGGAAAGGAAATCCGAGAGTGAACGAGGCAGAGGAAGCCAGCCGAGGCCACAGTGCAACAGGAAGGGGGTAGATTGTGGGATGGGGCTCTTCCTGGAAGAGGCCAGTCCTTGGGCTGGACTGGAAGGGGGATATTGGGATTCTGGGGAATACAGCCTCCTGAGAAAGTCAGTAATTTGGTCCCGTTTGGAATCAACTCAACAGCAATGGGTTTGGTTTTTTTGGTTTTTAACGCTAATGAGGAGTCCCTGAGTGATGCAAATGGTTAACACACTCACTTGGTTACTAACGAAAAGGTTGGACGTTTAAGTTCACCCAGACGTACCTCAGAAGAAAGGCCTGGCGATCTACTTCTGAAAAATCAGCCACTGAAAACCCGATGGAGCACAGTTCTACTCTGACACACACGGGGGCGCCATGAGTCATAATCACTCTGTGGCAACTGGTTAGTGCTAACAAAAGGAAAGCAGGTGCTGGGAAAAAAGCCACCCGAGACGGGGGCCACGGGACCGCCCCATCTTAACTGTCCACAGATGATGAGTCTGGGCTTAATTGCATCAGGAGGAAATGGCCCCTTGGATGCAATTTTGAGAACTGTTTTCAGAAGTCGTTCATCCGTTCCCACTCTTCAGTCAGAGGAAGGGGGAGGGGGCCATCTGAGCCTGGCAGAGCCCCACTCAGAGAAGGAGGGGTGGGCCCTGGCTAGTCTAGGGGGAGGCATCTGTCCCTTCTCCTCCCTCTGAACTGCCCCCATTCTGTGCCCCATTCTGGTCATGAGACCAAGGACTCAGGTATGTCTCTGAGAGATGCCTGCAGGGAGACCCTCCCCTCACCCCACCCCTGCACGCACGGCCCCCACCATCATCAGTCAGCCCTCCCCGTGACTCACTGAGCTCTGTAATTGCAGCAGATGGTAAAGCCCTGGTGTGACAGAGGCTGGCAGGGAGGGGTCCACCCCCCTCAGGAGCCTCTGTTTAGAGCTGGGGGCTTTGCGGGGCAGCAGAGGTCCTCTCAGACCGACGGGGTAGCATGGCCCCAGTGACAAGCACCAGTGGGGTCTGAGGGCACATGCATTCGCTCAGGCCTTAGCCAGGTCAAGTCCGGCTGGAGGATGCCTGGGGGCCCACGGCTTCCATTACCGTCCCCTTTCCCAAATAAACATATTACTGGGAAGGTCAGTGTTCATGATCAATTGCAGCCTCACCTCACCTCCTCCCGAACCAGGCTGCCTGGAACAGCCACTGTCCCAGGGACATTGACCAGGCCCTCTAACCCGGAGGTTCCCAAGCTCTGAGCCCAGGAGCACCTGGCCTCACCTTAGCTGGTCGTTGGTATCCTGGAAGTGCTGCCGTGCAAAGATCAAAGCTGGGCTGGAGTTGACGGGCAGGGCCAAGCGGTTATTGAGATACATGTCATTCAGCCAGTACTCGGACACCTGCCGGGGAGGGAGGGCAGAGGGGCATCATGGCCTGCTCGGCTGATGATCCCAGGGGCCACAGCCCCTCCCAAGTAAGGGCACCAGTTCCCATTCTGTCAGTCCCCAGGGACAACTGAGACACTTCATTCGATCATCCATTTCATTCATTCATTCACTCTGCAAACATACACAGAGCCCCAGTTATGTTCTAGGCCCCACGTGCACCCCAATCTACCGCCTGATCTCATCTCTGCCCCATACCTATCTCCTCTCTTTTGTCACAGTTGCCCACCTTGGCTCTTTAGTTCTTCACTCCTGTCCCCACACTTGTCCTTGTGTGTGTCCTGTTCCTGCCCTTAGTCCCTGTCCATGGCCCCAACCTCGTCTCTGTCCCCATCTCTTCCTCTGCTGCCCCACCCATGTCCTCCCGTTTGTCCCCCATCTCTGTCCCGTCTCTGCCCATCCCTATCTCGATCTCCGTCTCCCCTCCTTGTTCTCCTGTGTGTCCCCCCCATCTTTATTCCCATCTCTTCCCCTCTCTCCATCTCTAGCTCCCAACCCCACGTCGTCTATCCTTCACCCTTGCCCTTTGCTGTCCCCCGTCTCTCCTCCATCCATGTCCCCCACTCTTGTCCCCCCATCTGCCCCATCCTTCTAGTCTCTATCTGGCGCCCCCATCCACACTCATCTATCTGTCTCCCATTTCCGCCTCCTGCTCCTCCTGCATGGGTCCATGGTCTGCCCCGTCTGCCCACTCCCAGGCCACCCACACTGCCCCAGCAGCCTAACAACTCCTACCCAGTTGGCTGTCTTCTCCCGCCGCTCCAGAAGCTTCTGCTGCAGGGCCTCCCCGAGGCCTCCAGGGTCTCCAAACCGCTGCACAATGGCCTGGCTCTTCCTGAACTGCTCCTCAGGCACCAGGTGCTGCACGCAGTGCAGGTAGGTGGCCAGGGTCTGCTGCAGAGGGGGCACTGGCAGTTTGGGCAGGCCCTGGAAAAGAAGGGTAAAGCTGGGCCTGGCCTTATGTGTGGCCCGCCCCCAGCCCTGACTTGTTCCCCAGTGTCTGTCTCCATGTGCCCTACACTTGTTTCCTATCCTGGGACCTGTGTGCGTCCAAGATACAGCATGGCAGAATTATTGACTTCAAAAACTCCTATTTGCTCTCTCCTTCCTTCTCCACCCCCACCTCCAGGAAGGACCAAAGTGCAGAGGAAACACCCGGATGTTGGCATCAGACAGACCTGGGTTCATACCCTGACCTTGCCACTGACCAGCTTGGGCAAGTCACCTCACCTTTCGAAGCCTCATTGTCTTTCCCAGTAAAATGGGGCTAATAAGCTCACCTCTCACAGGATCAAAGAGACACTGAAGGGGAAGGTGCTTATAAACCATAAAGGATGGGGCTACAGTGAAACATTCCTATTATTGGTATTGCTGGCTGCTGGTCACTCTTAATTTAGGACTTGTTCCCAGCTGGGGCTCCAGAATCTAATGAATCCTTTGGACCCATAGGATGCTGCTCTGAAGGGAGATTCACACAGGTGAGTGATGTTTTTGGAGGGGAGGAACCATATCTCAGCGTTGCTGTAATGACCAGAATTCTGCAAAAAGTTTCCGGGCAGGTAACACGTGGCCTGAGCTCCTTGTTAAATCCATGCCAGAGTTATCATTCCATGTGTCTGTGGAGGGGAGAGTTCTTCCTCTGCCCAACCTCTCCAAGCCTCAGCTTCCTCGTCCATATGGCAGAAATAACCATTCCTACCTGCTATGGATTGCACTGTGCCCCCCCCCCCAAATATATGTTGTAATTCCTAGCCTCTATGCCTGTGGTTATGATCCCATTTGGGAATGGGTTGTCTTTGTTATGTTAACGAGGCAGGATTAGTGTAGGGTGTAGCTTGAGTCAATCTCTTCTGAGATATAAAAGAGATTAAATAAGCAAGCTAAGAAGCAGAGAGGGGGGAAAGATATGCCAAGCCACATGAAGATTGTCCAAAGAGACAAGGACCTTCCTCTAGAGCCAACAGAGAGAGAAAGCCTTCCCCTAGAGCTGGCATCCTGAATTCGGATTTCTAGCCTCCTAAATTGTGAGAAAATAAATTTCTGCTTGTTAAAGCCACCCATTTGTGGTATCTCTGTCATAGCAGCACTGAATGACTAGGACTCTGCCTGAGGGGGATGCAAGAGAATTACACGAGGTCAACAACTGGCCCCAAGTGGGCACATCACAGACTGTTATACCGTGACTGTTCTTATCGCTCTAGAGGAATTCCCTAAGAGGAAAGCCTGCAGGTCTGGGGCCCCCAGAGCGCGAGTGGAGTCTGTGCAGAGATCCCCACCCACACCCGCCCCATAGGGACACCATCCTTCCCTGTTTGCCAGCTGTGTTCACATAAGGATCTCATCTGTGTTTGCAACAATGTTGTGACTTAGCCAGAGCAAGGATTTTTGTCCCATTTACAGATGAGGAAGCTGAGGCCCAGAGAGTGGAGGGACTAGTCCAAGGTCACACAGCAGTGTGGTGGCAGGGCTGGGACCAGAAATCAAGTCTTCATCCAACCTCTGTTTTGCTTCTGTCTCCTTGATCATTCTCTCAGTGTCCCCCTTGCTCCCTCTTCCATCCCCTTCCTTTCCATCACTTAAACCAGTTGTTGTGGGGTCAGTTCATCTATGTGGGGACCCCATGTGTGACAAAGTAGAACTGCACTCCATAGGGTTTTCAATGGCTGATTTTTCAGAAGTAGATTGCCAGGCCTTTCTTCTGAGGAAACTCTGGGTGGACTTGAGAGCATTAATCATTTGCACCACCCAGGGACTCCCTCCCTCACTTAGCTGATCTTAATAGGAAAACTAGTGCTTTTAATATTTTTGCTTAAATTTTAAAAAGTTGGCCGAGGATGGGCGACCTCCTTCCAGGAGTTTCTTCCTCTGCAAGTGGTGGGGTGGCTGCAGAAGTGCAGGCCGCCTTTGAGAGCATGTCTCTGGTCTGCTCTCACTGGCTGCACTCTGGAGGCCCGACACAGCCCTGGGCAGAGGTGGAGGACTGCATGGTGGTGTGAGTGTAAGCGCTGATGGATGAACAGGAATCTCCACCTGCCCGATCCTGTCTCTAGAGCTCACTGCCTCAGGTGGGAGGAGGGTGTCAGGGCCACTGCAGAAGCTCCTGGCAGGAGACTGACACCAGACGGGTCTGGGCAGCACCCCAGGCTGCCACGCCCACTCCCGGGGCAGGGGCGGAGGGGTCAAGCCCCCCACCTAGTGCTCTGGTTCCCTCCTCCTTCTCTTGGGGATTGGGGAAGTTGAGTGGTGGGTGGGCAGACAAGCACCTACAGAAAGCTCTGCCCAGCTGGTAGCCTGGCACCCCTGCCAAGACTAGGCCACCCTTTTCAGGTCTCTGACAGTGAGCTGGGACTCAGCTTAGAGTAAGAGGAAGTTGGGTGATGGGTAAAAAGGACCAAGGTGGGACATCTCAGCTCCATGTCTCAGCCCCACGGAGTTCCTCCCCAAACTCTCGGTGGCTTCTGGGCCAGGCCTGGGACCAGAGACAGGGACTTGTACTAATGAGGGTCTTTGGACTCTGGGGTCTCGGTTAAAACACATTTCCTGATCAGTTCGTGTAAGGAATGATGGAGAGACAGGCCTGCTCCCAAGGAAGCCAGAGGCGGAGACATGCTTGAGACCAGAAAGAACAACAGAGGTGTCGGACAGCTGCAGAGGCCAAGGGAACTTGGGGAGCAACTGGGGGTATGGGGAGCCAGAGAGCTATGGTCAAGGTTGGCAAGGGTGGCAAGAAGGCGTTTGTGACAGAGGGACCAGCACGTGCAAGGACCTGGAGAGAATGGATGCTGCTCTCACAGGGGGCACAGTTACAGAGACTTCCCAGACACAACCAGATGTCTTACAGCACTGGTTTACTGGCTGTGACGTCTTGGGACAATTGTTTCATGGGACAACTCCGTCAATTGGCATAACAGTTCAGAAAGATAATATTCTACATCCTAGTTGGGTGAGTAGCATCTGGGGTCTTAAAAGCTTGTGAGCAGCCATCTAAGATACAACTATTGGTCTCTGCTGGTCTGGAACAAAAGAAAATGAAGGAAACCAAAGACTCAAATGAGAAACTAGTCCATAGGACTAATACCCCACCCCACATGAACCATGGCCTCATCTAGCCTGAGACCAGAAGAATTAGATGGTGCCCGGTACCACTACGGCCAATTCTGACCAGGTACACAGTGGAAGGTCCCAGATAGAAAGGGACAAAAATGGAGAACAAAACTAAAAAGACCAGGCTTAGTGGACCAATAGTGACTAGAGGAACCCCGAGATTATCACCGTCAGATAGCCTTTAAGCTTGGAACTGAAGCCATTCCCGGAGGTCACCTTTCAGCCAAATAATAGAGTGGCCTATAAAATAAACAATTACGCACAAGAGGAATGTGCGCCTATAAACAATCAAGTATACAAGACCAAATGATCAACATTTACCCTAAAACAAAGATGAGAAGGTGACGAGGGGCAGGGACACTAGAGTAATGGAAACAGAAAGAACAGATGGAAATAACGAGAATGCTGGCACAGTGTGAAAATTGTAACCAATGTCACGGAACAACTTGCATAAAAATTGTTAAATGGGAACCTAAGTTGCTGTGTAAACTTTCACCAAAAACAGAATTTAAAAAAAAAAAAAAAAAAAAGATGTGCTGCTCTGTCCCTCTGAAGGGAGGATGCTTGCCAAAGGTGGGGCGGCCTCATCTCCAGCCAGTGGGGAAGATGTGCCTCAGGCTCCAGGGTGAACTAGCCACACCAGGGGCTGGCCTGGCAGGGTTCGGGTAGAGAATTAAGCCTCACCTTATGGCAACCCCGCTGGGCTCTAAAGCCACTAGAGGGGGCAGATGAGCCTTGGGGTTGGGGTCGGGGTCGGGGAGAGGCTCTTCCAAGCTACTGGCCCTGGGCCCACTGGAAGTGGTGAGCAGCCCTGGGAGAAAAGAAAGGTACCTGGCCCAGGTCAAGGCCTCTTTCTGACCTTGAGGATTAGGAAGGTGTCACTGTCAGCATTCCCTTAGCACCCCCCGAGGCCACTCCCGGTCCCTCCAGGTGCTCCCAGGCTCCTCAGCAAGCTCAGGGCAGGGCTACTGCCTGGGCCTCATGCCTGGGACAGGGCAGGGACTGTGCCCCTCAGGACTATTCTGGGAGCTGAGGCATGTGCATGGGGAGAGCAGGCATGAGGGAAGGAGCTTCAGGGGTCACTCACAGGCTCCTCTGCACCCCCAGGGGGGTTTGCCACCGTCTGATGGGGGTCTTTCTCCAGGATGGGCATCTTGGGAACTCCTGGTCTGGGGAAACAGAAGTGCAGACCTGGGGACAGAGAAGGGGGTTATCAGCATAACAGCCCCATAGACCTGCCATGAGCCCTTCATCACCAACCTGTGAGGAGGCCAGAGAGGGACAGGAGTATACAAGGCCCGTGTTGCAGGCCAGCCCCAATCTCCTGGTCCCTGGACCAGCCTCCCTGACCACAGCGCCCTCTCTGAACCCCCAGATGGGAGAAGGTGGGTCCTGAAGTGAGTCTTCACCCGGGACTTGCTCCCATGAGGCTGCTGTACTCAGGTCCAGCCCAGCCATCCCGGAGACCATGCCCAGCAGTGCTGGCAGGAGCAGGGCTGGGCTTGCCCACGCTGATCCACTCCCAGCTGGCTGCACCTCCACCTCCACCTCCAGCAGGGGTCACCGGCAGAGCACTTGTGTTCCTGTCTGGGGTCTCCAATGGTATCTGCTTTGCTGACTACATTCTCTTTTCCATTAGACCGTGAGCTCCATACCTGCATACCATACCTGCAGTGTCCACTGCTTCATCTCTGGGACCTAGCAAGGTGCCCAGCATGTAAAAGGACCAATGTCTGTTAGCTGAGTAAACAAAGGAATGCAGGCAGCTTGTGTGTATGATGAAATGAACAAGTGAGTGAATGAATGCACACAGGGATCTTTAAGGCCCTGGGATCTGGATGCACCCTGGGCTGACTGGCAGACTGGCCTGTGACCAGAGCAGGGAGGACCCGGGGACCTGACGGAGAGGCTGGGGACTTGGGCAGCCTCTGGTCTGCAGGCTCCCAGTGTCGGTAGCTGAAATGTGGGGATGCTGAAGAGTGTGGTGCAGGGAAGGTGGGCAGCTGGGGGCCCTAGAGACCACTGGCCCAGCCCGGAGAGTTCGAATTACTTTAGAAGTTGCAGTAGAAGTGAGCTAAGCGGAGTAAAGGCCAGTTTTTAAGGCTGGTGTGGCCCAACCCCTTCCCTCCGAGATCCCCCTA